AGAAACCAAAAGTTGTGTTTACTAGTAGTAAACTAAATGTTGTATACTATCAAGCTAAAATCCACGGGGATGCCTGTGGGTCCTAGTTTAGTGTATACTTGTTGAATAGAAATAAAATAAAACTCCTCCATTCTCATGAAAAGAACACCTAATGAAGAAGGTTAAGCACCTCATGAAGAGGATCATCATGAAGATGAAATCCAACACACTAAGCGCGCGCATCATTAGTGTTGGGTATGCAGAACAACAAATCATCTCTTGTTTGGGAAATAACAAAGAGAAAGAATAATATCATATTATGAGAATATTAGAAGAAAATAATAGTTGTCGACAACGTTACCTCTAAACTTGCAAATATTTCTCTTATGAGAATCTGGATCCGGAAAAAAAAGTCCACGACAAAGTCGCCTATAGCGATTATATCGGGTCAATGAAGAAAGCAATTGAGGTTGAATCTCCTACTAAGAATAAATAAATGTTCTGCTATATCTCTGGTCAAATAAAATGGATGAATATGAAATATACAGTTAATGAATGGATTATGAAGATCCATATAATTCCTAAAGAATATAAATCGTAATATACGGAAATTAAATCTCATACAAAGTATTAAAAAGTCTAAGGTAGAATATATTCCTGTGTGAATATTAAGGTCTCAAGAAGAGCATGTCCTAGAAGGAAAAAAGTCAACAAATGACTTTATAATAGAAAATATATCTCATAGAAGAGAATTGTTATTCACTAAGAATGAGAACATCCTTGAAGGAATTAATCCATAAAGGATTTACCAGTCGATTCTTGAATAAACACCTTTGATCCCTAAAGTGAATATAGACCCAGAGAAAAAGAAAATGAGGAATCCGATGCACCATGAAGGTGTCATACAAACTCTCAGAAAGTGTATATTGTAAAACTAGCAATGAAGTGATTGATATCCTCTAAATACCATAGAAGGTATAAGAATAATGATAACTTTGGCAATTAAATTATTCCCTAAATGCTAAATGTAAGACTAAATTCATTTAGTGGTACAATCAAAATCCTGAAGATTTGTAGAACATATAATTAAAAAAACCATCAAAAAAGAATTATAAGTATTCAAACTCTAGTATGAGTTTGATGCACTATCTAGAAGATATTGAATATTGTAACTTATTTATCTCCATAATTCTCTGAAAGGATTTATTACCCTGAAGGATAAAATTTATTTGTTTTGCACAACTAATAAATGGTTATTATGCATGAAGTATATTGCTTTTATTTATACTCATATTATAATTCACAAAAGAATTATGACCCAATTTTTTAAAGATATAAGTATTGTGGTGTTGTATACCATTAATTAAGCACACAATTATGAGAAGTGTGATTTGAACAATGAAGTTAAAATTTGACTATATGAGGGGGAGCAATTTGATTGAATCTACCTCGAAGGTAACCACTAGGATTACAAAGATCAAGTAGATCATATATGCTAAAACATTAAAGTTTATGCATAAATCATGAAAATCAATATCTGTTCATAAAGATTAGAATATCTCAAAGAATGAATAACCAAGAAGACTAAATGTTGTACTCTTTTTTCTATATAAGTTTTTACTTAGGTTTCTCAAACAAGGTTTTTAATGAGACAATATGTGCAATACAATTAACAAATGCGATGTACTCTTTTATCCAAGAACCGTTTTACCCATTGGGTTTTCGGATGAAGTTTTTAATGAGGTATATGCATATCGTGGTAATCGCTCAAGGGGAGTGTTGTAAAACATACGGACTCTATCCTACAAGTAAAGGAAAATGTGAAATACTTATCCTAGTCTATTTGTACGTGGGCTCTTACCAAACTCTTAGACCTTGACTAGATTATATATATACGTGGAAGCTTTATGTTGTAATCACAAATATTAAGAGGAATAAAGAATAGTCTCCCTATCTCTTGTGTCTATGTGTTCTACTTTCATCTACTATGTTGGTTATGAGAGATAGAGAAAGAAAGATTCTGATCGCTAGCAACATGTTTTATAACAACGACATCCCCGCTAGGCCGCTACCGTTCACGGTTTAGTGGTTCACCTTGCCTTACACGAAACATAGTCGACGTGATGCGTCCTAGCAGCAGCAACATTTGTTGCATATATACAATACTACCGATATGTACCTTCACCCTGTTCGTTTATGCTGAAATATTACGAGAGAAAAATACTATTTTATGGCTGAAAAGTAGCTCAAACGAACATGCACTTGTCCTTCAGTCACTTTTGTCTTATTCGCTTGGCTGATAAGCCATGACTGAAAGTATTGTTGGCTGATTTGTGGACCTCGTTCGTTTCGCTGAAAAAAGAAGTCAAAACACTGTTCCAGCTGATTTGTTGTGAGAGAAAAACACTGTTTTAGCTAAAAAAAAGTCAAAGAAGCCGAATTATAAGAGAAGCGAATAGAGCCTGAGAGAAAAATACTCAGCATGTTCGCTTGTTGATTTCAGCCAAGGCTTATCAGCCAGCCAACAGTATTTTTTCTCTCATAACCAACCAGCACCAGCTGATTTTATCAGTCCAGAAACTGATCAACGAATAGACCAACTATTTATTAACTAAAAAATATAACTTATAAGCCAAACAATCAGGACGCTTACACCTTAGATGTGCGGGGGCCAAGGCCATCTCTTCTCTCACAAGTATCATCTGGGTCACGAGACTTCTGTACCAGCGGCGTCCGAAACCTCAAGTTGGAGGCTGTTACACACTGGTCAAAGGTGCACGTCAGGTGTACACACTATGCAAATTAGTGAATTACGTACTGTATGCAGCAACTACTAACGAAAAAAAACCCAACTTGCTAGCACCAAGAGTTGCACCCATCTGCTAACCACCGATCGACTCCAGCCTTGCGGACTAAGCCAAGTGGTAGTCTCGTTCCGCAACAGCCGAACCGAGCCTTTACGACGTCCTGAATGGCTAGGTAATTGGTTACCTATTCTAACGTACGTGGATATAGAAAAAATAGAAGAGAAAGTAGTCCCTAACAACAAATAAATAACTAATTTATTTCATTTAGTTCAAGAATCTAAAAGAGAACATGTAAGTCCAATAACATATAAAAAAATAAAAATATATAAAATAATCTTTGCTTTTATCTCTCACATCTATGTAAACTAGCTACATATCTAGCATCATTGCAGACGCCTTTACAGAACCACAAATCCACTAGGCCAGGGGCTCATTTGGAAGCAACCAACGGAGCTCTTAGAAACTGAACCACAAATGCACAAAAACGGTTCATACAGAGAATTTTCATAATAAATCAGCACTAAATCAACATATCAAACAAGAAACCATTCAGCCAACAGGCTGAGAGTCGAGGCGACCAGCCGACCCAGCAGACAAGTACTACTCGTGGTAGTGTCGTACAATCCTCCCTCAGGCCTCATCCAATTAGAATGTGTACTAGTCTGAGTCCTTGTTTAGTTGCCGTCCTAAAATTTTCCATCATGTCACATCAAATATTTGAACACATATATAAAGTATTAAATATAGATTAAAAAAAATAATTAATTACATATTTTACGACTAATTTATGAGACAAATCTTTTAAACCTAATTAGTCCATAATTTGACAATAAAATGCTACAGTACCACATATGCTAATGACAAATTAGTTAAGTTTAATAAATTTATCTTATAGTGGATTCTAAAATTTATTTTTTTATTAGATCAAATAACTATACATCATCCCATGTAATATCCATTCTGACACTCAAAACTTATAGCCTGAATCTAAACCAGGCCTCGTTTAGATTGCAAATTTTTATAATCTGAACACTGTAGCATGTTTTGTTTATATTTGACAAACTTTGTTTGATCATGAACTAATTAGGCTCAAAAGATCCGTCTCGTGATTTACAACCAAACTATATAATTAATTATTTTTTTATCTACATTTAATACTCCATGCATGCGTCTAAAAATTAATGTGATAAAGAAAAAATAAAAAAACTTAGAATTTGAAGATGATCTAGACCCCAGCCTCGTGACTCGTCTCGTCCCGCCGTCAGCGGTCAGTGCCTTGGCGGCCTGCGCCTGCAATGCACTGCCCTAGATCTACTCCGACGTTTGCCTTGCACCGGCGGACCAGCCAGCCCAGCCGTGCCGCAGTAACGTCTCTGATTCGCCAGCAACCTACTACCCTGCACCAATATGGACGCTAGCTAAGAACTTGCTCCCGTAAAATTTATTTTTTATCTCATCGAATATTCGATGCATGCAAAAAATATTAAATATAGATTAAAAAATAATTAATTATATAGTTTACGACTAATTTATGAAACGAATCTTTTAAACCTAATTAATGTCTTATTCGCTTGGCTGATAAGCCATAGCTGAAAGTATTGTTCACTAATTTGTTGTGAGAGAAAAATATTGTTCGTTGGCTGAAAAAGTACGACTTATAAGCTAAACGAACAGGCCGTTAGTCCATAATTTGACAATGTGATGCTACAGAAAATATATACCAATAATAAATTAATTAGGCTTAATAAATTCATCTCACGTATTACTAACCGATACTATAATTTATTTTTTTATTAGCATCGAACAACTCGTGTGATATCCAATAACATCCAAAACTTTACCTGTGGATTTAAACCAGCCCTAAACCTCACATTACTGTTACAACGTTACTGCTCGACGCCCGGTAGCCGTGACCCCGTCAGCCGTCAGCGAACGGTCGTACAGCTAATAACGCACTGGCCGGCGGCACGGAGCTCCGCCGCGCCGCCGGAAATGGGCGGCCGTGCTCTCGTCCGATCTGTCCGTCTCTACTCTAGTCTTAGCTCTGAGAACGAGGAAAGCAAGAACAGAGGTGCATGGTAGGTGAGCAGCAATGGCCAGTGGCGCCATCGATGATGGATGGCGCGATAATGTCCGAAAGGTTACTGAGCAAGTAACAGGAGACAGTGATTAGCGAGAGAGGAACAAAGACATGGATGATCCCGAGCTCAAGTTCTAGAGGAAGATGAAGCACTCCATGGCCACCGAGGGGTTGTGGCCCAGCGGCGCGCCCTCCTCGCCCTCCGCCAGCTTCTTCTGCTCCCCTCCTACTCCTCCGCCCAACAACGCCGCCGCCCGCTCGTCGCCGACGCCGCGACCGATGGCGGCGTCGAGCCCGCGACCGTCTCTAATGACCCGCGGAACCGGACTGGCTCGCTCGGGGGTGCCGTGCTCCTTCGCGGCCGCCTTGCGCATGGGGCTGGCGGGCCGGTGGATCGCGGCGCTGGGACTGGGAGAGGCGGGCGCGCGCCTACTGCCCGTCGGGGAGTCCGACCGCCGGCCGGACCGCTCGCCGGGGTCCCGTCTGGACAGCGCGCTGGCGCTGCCTCCCCCGTGGCTGGCGGCGGCGACATTGCGGTTGATGGCGGCGGCGGCGGTGAGGGAGAGGAGGGGCCGCTTGGACGACGACGGCAGCGCCATGTCGGCCTCCCTGGCGGAGTGCGTCCGCCGGACGGCGGCGGCGCTGTCGGCGGCGCGCCGCGCGGCGGACGGCGAGAACCGGCCGCTGCGGCACCCGATGCCGGACACCACCGCGGGCTGCTCCCGCCGCGGCCGCGGCGCCGGCGGATGCTGACCGCCGCTCTGCTGCTGCCTCCTGTGCGCCGACGAGGGTGACGGCGACCGCGCCCGCCCGTGCCCGTTACCGCCGCCCGCGCCGCCTCCCTTGGGCTTGCGACTCTCCCTCTCCCTCTCCTCCGGCGCCGTCCTCCTGGCCGTAGTCTTTCCTTTCTCCGGCGCGTCCAGCTCCCTCTTCTCCACCTCCCGCTCCCGCTCCCATCCGGCCGCCTCGTGCACCTTCGCCTTCGCCTTCTCTCCTTGGCAGCCGACGCCACTGACGCAGCGCTGTCGCTAGCGCTGCACGTCTCGAACGCCGCCGCCTCATCATCCGCCTCCGGCTGCTGTTGCCTCCTCTTGACCGGCTCCGGCGGCGGCGTCGGCCTGGGCGGCCGCGGCACCGGCGTCTCGGACAGCACCACCTCCTTGACCTCCTCCTCCTCGACCTCGGCCTCCACCTCCAGCACCGGTGGCAGCTGGGCATGGGCGTTCTCCTTCTCCACGACCGGGAGCGGGGCAGCCACCTTGCCCTTGGCGCCGGCGGCCTTCTTGCTCACGCAGCTGCCCATGATGATGCGCCACCCACCCCACCCCGCCGCCGGCAGCGCGAACGGAAGCAGTGGAGAGGAAACGGAGAGTGGAATGCCGTAGCTAGGAAAGCAATGGTGGTGGCCTGGCCCTGCTGGCTGGGATGGGCGGATGGGAGGTCCGGGTCAATGAGGTGGCGCTCAGCGATCAGCTGAATGCACCAGCAGCTGCAGCTGCATTATGCATCTTCGTCGTGAGGTGGAGGGAATCAGATCGCGAATTGAAGAAGGCCTATTAATCTCGGGGTCAACCACCTCGATTCCTCCCTTCTCTCTCCTCTCGATGCAGCAGCGCTGCCTGTAGGAGCTGCTACTACGAACGACGCAGTGGTGCTCGGGCTCATTAAACTGGAGTCAATTCGCCGGCCAGGCGGCCACTGACTGATATATATCGAGCTGGCGCCATCACTGCGCTAACTCCCATCACCCGTCGGCCGCTATCGCTACGCTACTGGCCTCGCTTGGACGGCTGCTGCTGTGGTGTTCCCTCACCCTGCCACGAGAGATTGGACCCGTAGCCCCGAGGGCACTCCCTCATCTACTAGGATTAATGGTGAGAGGTACGGCAGGTAGACAATTAGATATTATATATATAATATACCGAGGAGTAGGTCTGTTTGCATCCGAGGCCATGTTTCGTTCGCCCGAACCGGCGCCGACGAAATCACTGTAGCTACGGAGCCGACGAAATCACAGTAGCATTTTTGTTTTATTTGATAATAATTGTCCGATCGTTGACTAATTAGGCTCAAAACGTTCGCCTCGCAAAGTACAACTAAACTGTGCAATTAGTTTTTGATTTCGTCAACATTTAGTACTCCATACATATACCGCAAGTTTGATGTGACGAGGAATCTTCTTTTTGCATAGTGCCAAATTTAGAAATTTGGAGGAACTAAACATGGCCGAAGTTACTAGTAGGACCTTCGTCGTGAAAAGATGCAATTAGTTTTGTCCCTAGACTTTGGAAAATTCATGACAAAATAGAGTACTAAAATTCATGACAAACTGGTATACTATGAAAATACTTTGGAAAAAAAATCTAATGACACTTATTTGTCATTCAAAATTTGAGCGAGGTAAGATAATTAGATAGAATCTCTAGTGGAGTTTAAGATTATATAAGATATAGATAGACACGATATATAAATATAGCTATAGATATTAATGTATATATAGATCAAACATGCAACTTTGGTTAATATATGTGTGCTAACTTTAGAGTAGCACCTTTTAGTAGGTTGAAGGTTGCTTGGAGATACTCTAGTATCGATTCTAAATGGGAATCGCGGACGCCTGGACCTCCGATGGGATAGGATTCCGTCGACGGTAACTTAGGCACACTTCCACCGAATGCCCTAGCAGAACGGCCCATCAGAAAGCGCCATCGCGCGACCTCGGCTTTGGTCGCCAGCCCACCTGCCCGCGCTTGACACTGCGTCGTTCGTTGCTACACGCGGGCGTCCGCCCCCCGTTCGCTTTGTCCCACCCCGCACACGTACCCCGTCACCCACCCGCCCCGCCCCACACCCGCCGCCCCTTCTCCCTGACCTCCTCCTCCTCTCTCTCTCTGCACGGGCGGGACCCGGGAGCTGAGATGAGGATGAGCGTGCCCCGTCCGTAGGACCCCAGGCGAGCCGCGCGCCCCATCCACCGACCCTCGGATCGTCGCGCCTCTTCCCCCGGCGTCCGGGCCGTGCCCCATGAGTCTCTGAACATACCGATCGACCTGAGGCGCGCGATGGCACCACCAACACCAGCAGAGGCGGGCGCGTGCCCGACGACGCGGGTGGAACTACGGGAGCAAGGAGCGAGAGGCGCAGCTGGGGTGCGCGACAGGCAGGAGCAAGGAGCGAGCAACGCAGGATGAGGGCGTGAGGGGGGAGATGGCCGCTGCGGCAAATGTGTGGTGGGGCGTGCGGACGGCCGCAAGGCGTTGTGAAGCGTGCAATGGGCAAGTGTGTAGGAAGATATTTTTGAGAGAGATGTGAGACGTACAGAGGAGGATGCAGACTTGTTAGACCTGTAGGGTGCGCGTAGGCCCGAGAAGCGGCGTCTGATCGGACGGATGCCCAACCCTGAGCATTACCAATTCTAAATTTATTAAATCCAAGTAGTCCCATAGTTTGATTGTCGGGCTCCTGTGCCGTTTTTTGTCCAAGATAAATCATCTCCATGCCTTAGTGTCGATGCGGGACCCACAGGATACCCCGCAAGAGAGAGAAGATCTAGTTCAACTAGGATTCTTCTCATGTAATCTTAGTAATAGAACTATTAAGTAATCCTACTAGGAAATCTCATTGTAAACCGATTAGGACTCTGGCCTCCTGACTATATAAAGGAGGGCAGGACTCCTAAAGAACAACAATTGTACAACATAACACTTCATAATCAATCCAACGCAAAAGGCAAACGTTGACTGGACGTAGGGTCGTTACTCGATCTACGATCGAGGACCTGAACCAGGATAAATCGACTGTCTCTTGTGTTTACCATCGAGTTCAAAGATACGCCGAAGCTCGAACATACTGCCTCGGGTACTTCGCGGCGGTGCTATCGGTGGTAAAACATCGATAGCTGGCGCGCCAGGTAGGGGCCTTCGGCGACTTTGCATCCGAGACCTCGATGGACCTCAATAACATGATCTTCCCGACGGGATCGATTTTCATCTTCGCTCGTGGATCCGCGAGGCGACAACTACGGCAAGCTTCAAAGCCATCTCCTCAAAGATCCGGATCATCATGAAGAATCCTCTATTTCGACAACTACGACGGATCGGTTCATCGTAAGATTCACAAGACCCCATAATACCCGATTCAATAAGATTCCACGACTACACGATCCGACTCGAATTCAAGCTTCAGTGTCCGAGATGAAGTCCTATTCGAGTGCTTTCAAGAAGTCGAGTTCTGCTTGGCAAGATTCCAGAGCACAACCCAAAACAACTCGGATTACCCTCGAATTTTTTTCAAAAGGCGAGTTCTTTTCCATTTGGGCTTGACAACACGACAAAATCCTATCGTGACAGTTTTGAAAGGTCTTTCAAATCAACACTTGGGATACCACTAACAGAGCTCGGAGGGTCTCGTATTAACGATAACATCGCAAGACCAGATCATCCATCGCCGTGATCCGTTCCTCGAGGATAGCGGAACCCAACTAGTCGGCACAACAACAACTATTCTACCTTACCAAGAGGGAAACTCAATCTACGACGTCGAGGCGATATCAAGTCATCAAGAACTCCGACAAGATGAAAACTAACAACAATAACGGAACGGCTCACGCACGGAAGTGCTCATGGTTCGACGTCCTCGGTCACCATTAAACCCCGAAGCACCGATGTCGTCATCGATGAATCAGAATCCAACATATCACCCTTTGCTCGTGGCTACGATGGAGAAACCGAGAGTCGAGAGACAAAGCTAGAGAAAGGAAAAACAAGTTGAAACAAGGGCGCCAAGACCACTTCGACAAACAGAGAGAAGCTCGGACTAGATACGAGTCAGAATTAGCTGAATACGACAAAATAAAATCACAACAAGAGGCCGAAGAGAGACGCACAGTGAGTACGCCTTATGATAAGATTCGAGAAGGATTAGAAGAACTCAGGGCAACTTCACATCACGGAGAGAAGTATGAACAGCTCCAGGACTTGCTCCGGTCAACGATCCCAAGAACGCATGAAGAGAGAACCCGATCAAGACTACCCGCCAGATCAACAACCCGCAGGCAAGAAGATCAAAATCAAAGGAAGTCCGCTTTTGAAAGACTTGGACCAAGCGGAAGCCATAACGGAGAAAGTAGGAGAGAACATAGTCGGGGCCATCAATTTGAACAACCAAGGAAGACCAGGAGTAGAGGGCCTACCCAGACAGCCTCGCAGAATTATTCCCATCAAAACAACACTTGGCCAGAAGAAGGAGCCGAATCCGAATTCAAGGAAGCCGGAACGCATGATGATTCCCTATTTTGCAAAAAAAGTTGGCATCAAGACGATTACCTCACAAATTCAAACCGCCTAATCACTCCAAGTATGATGGCAAAAAGCCGAACCAAGGCAATGGCTCGTAATATATTCACAATCAATTGAACTAGCCGAGGAGACGATGATATCAAAACCTTGTTCTTTCCCATGGCATCGGCGATGCCCTCCAATGGTTCGATAAATTGAACCCGTGGATCGATCGAAACTTGGGAAGACTTGCAAAAGAGCTTTCAGTGAAAATTTTACGGTATCATCACACACCCGATCACTCATGCCGAATCGAAAGGACTCAAACAAAAGGGGGCGAAAGTCTCGTAAATTACTATCGGCGATTCGGTGAACTACGGGCTCAAGTGCATGACATCACCGAACGAGAAGTAATTGAAGCTTTCTCTCACGGAATCATGGCTAGGTGGCAATTTCAAGACTTCGCAAAGAAAATCCGAGAAACAATGAAGAATTCGAATTTAACAAGAGAAAAAATGATTACTGCAGAAGAAAAAACACGAGAAAGGTTCCCGGATAGAAGCAACCAAGACAACCCGGATAGGCAAAATCATCGAAATAGCAGACATCAAGAAAGAAAGCGTAGACCAGACAATACCGTGGCAATGGCCGACAAATCAAAGAAGTTTTCCAAACCCAGAAGATATGATGACATTGAAAACATACGTTGCCCGTTACACCCTAACGGGAGACACACCATCGGAAACTGCTACACTTTCAATGATCGATACACGAGAAAAGACAGTAAGGAGAACACCAAAGAGGATAATCACAAGAAAGATGAAGACAACCACGAGGACAAGGGATTTCAAAAACCCAGGGGAACGGTAGCAGTGATCTTCTCAGGGGCCCCAGATTGCACAAGCAAACGTCAAGAAAAACTAGCACTACGGACTATCATGACGGCAGAACCGGCTACACCAAGATATCTCAATTGGTCACAATATCCAATCCAATTTTCAAGAGAAGACCAATGGACTAGCGTAGG